CTTTTTTGCCATGGATGTTAAGCGAATCCCTTCAGTTGTTAAGGGAATCGTGCAGTCGTTAAGCAAATCCTTTACGAAAGCCAGCTAGGAAGGTCGCACATGGTGATCATGTGACCTCGCAGCCCATTGTAAAGACATACCAGTTGTGATCACATGACCATGGGGATGCTGCAAGCGTCGTAAGTGCGAGGATCGGTCATAAGTCTCTTTTTTCAGTCCTTTTGGCCCCTAAACAAATGATTGTAAATCAATGAGCACAAGGGGCGGTTGCAGCATCCCCCTGGTCACGTGATCAAAATTCAGATGCTTGGAAACTGGCATGTACTTGTGCCTGTTGTGTCCCCAAGTCACCGTTCTGACCCGGCTCCCCAAACACAACATGAATCGGTTGCTGGGTTCTCTGGCAGCCGACAGGCCACAACAGTCGTGTGGTCCCCATTAGCGATCTTCTCTGAACAACTGTGTGACTCATTTAACTGCAGTGATTCATTTAACCACCTTGGCAAAAAAATGGGGCAAAACTCACTTAGCAACCGTCCCGCTTTAGCGGCAGAAATTTGGGGCTCTGCTGTCATCGTAAATTGTGCCTAATTTGGGGAGAAAGGTCAGGGTCAGCCAACTTCAGTGCTCCCTGACTCCGAAAGTGGGGGTTCCCTTCTGTGAGGGACAAGGGGGCGTGGCTGGGGAGAGATTTTGGGGAGGAGCTTGTCTGCAAGCTCCGCCCCATTGTAGAATCCCAGGGGGAAGGGGCTCTGCAGTCAGGTCAGAGGTACCGTCCTCAGCTGGTCGTAAGTCGGGGACTGCCTGCTTCCCTTTGAAAGATCTAAGCTTTGCGCAAATAAAGAGGAATTCAGGAGTGCAGGTGGACAATAAGGAGACGAGGAACTGCGTCATTTAAAAACTGGGTCCTCTTTCTGCAAAACCTTGAAGCCGTCTGAGATAAGATTCTCCCTCTTCTGCCTTGTGGTTTCTTTCTCTGTGCAGCGCATCCTCAGTATTTCCTGTGCATGTCAGATCTACTTTTCTTTCCCCCCACTTTATCTTCTTAATTTACAGTTAAGTGATAGACAGAAAATATCAGCAGGGAGAGAGAGAAAAAAAAGCCACTTTGCAGGGTGGAAAAAACCACTTTTGAGAACAATCAACCAGTGGAACAGCCTTCAGAAGTTGTGAGCGCTCCATCACTGGAGGCTTTGAAGAAGAGACTGGACAGCCACTTTGCAGAAATGGTATGGGGTCTCTCCCCCACTCCCCTTTTGGGCACCGGGGACCGGTTACGTGGAGGGCGGTTTTTCCACGGATTGGGTGTGTGTGGTTTTGCACGGTGCCTGAATTGCATGAGTGTGTGGATGGGGTTTTCACTTGCTTCCGCGGTCCGTGCCGGTCTCTGTCCTGGGGGTTGGGGGACCCCTGTATTACATTCACGGAGACTTGGATAATATAGGATTGAATGCAGGTGAGTATTCAGCATGACTCATGATTCAGACTTGATTTATTGGGGGTTTTTTTTCCTGTAACATGCTGGAAAGACACCATCAGGCCACTGTGGGTCAGCCTTCTGGGTCTGACCTTCGTTTGACAGATCTGAGACACGGATCAAAAAGAATATTTGTTGGTCAGGATTAAACTGTGGGGTCCTTGGTGCTCTCTGAGCTTGATGGTTTTCTTGTGGACGTTTCATGACCCAACTAGGTAACATCATCAGGGGTAGAAGGGAGTGCAGTTTGAGGAGGAGGAGGAGGAGGAGGAGGAGAGCAGTGGGGTCCTTGGTGTTCTCTAAGTGTGGTGGTTTCCTTGCAGACATTTCACGACCCAACTAGGTAACAACATCAGTGCTGAAAGGTAGTTGAGTTTGGGAAGAGGAACAACAGCAACAGCCTCTTTTTGGTCTTCTCCAGAGTGAGATGTTGGCCAGTCTGAAAATGTTCTGCTAGGCTGAGCTCTGCCCAGAAGATCTAACTGAGAAATATTCTTCCTTGATAGAGATTCGTGTCCTTACAGCTATGGAGTAAGCATACAATGACCTAACTCTTTCAGGAGGGAGGACTGCAAACGAAATGAATTTAATGGATGTGAAGTTCCAGTAAATTATTCATTTGCTTGCCTAAACAACGGCCTTTTTCTGCTTTGGGTGCCTCAGCGTTCTTTGCAAATATTTTTCCTTTTTTTTCCCTTCACCCACTTCTGTGCATTCATGGACTTTTAAAGGGGAAGTTTGTTAACTCGAATACTGCCTAGACATTTGATTTTCTTTAAAGAAGAAAAGTGCGCGAGTGTGCTTAGAGTTAGCGGTTTTGTTGGATGGAAACAGCAGAAGGTATTTTAAATATGTGAGTAATTTGACAGAATCCTTTTGGTTTAATGAGATCATTTCTATTATCACTGCTTATTCTTCCGTACTGTATTCTTTTTAATCAGATCATGTTGGGATTAGGTATTCATATTCTTTGACTAACCACCACAATTGTGACCCGAATTTCCACTGCTAAACAAGGGGGGTTGTTAAGTGACTCACACCTGATTTTTTTTACAACCATTTTTGCCACTGTTATTATGCAAATCACCTCAATTCTTGCCCTGTCAACATCGTTGGTGCTCATAGTATTCCTTGATTAGGCTGTTGTTTATTGTTAGCTTGGAGTTGTTAATATATAAACAGAAAACAAACTCCACTCTCTTCGAGCACTGATGATGTTACCTAGTTGGGTCATGAAACGTCTGCAAGAAAACCAGCAATCTTAGAGGGCACCAAGGACCCCACATATGACTTATTTTCAAACCCCCTCTTTCTCCATATTGTCCTTTTTCTAAACCTGGCTGACTTTCTGTGAAGCCTGGTGGGAAAATGCCTTAAAAATGGCTTTTTCATTCAAAGTATCATGTAATGAGGCTCCGGATTTATTCAGCTGGTAGAAACAAAATTAGAATAACGCACCTTACATTTCAGCCAATTCCAATGGCAGATGTGTTTTTTTTAGTCTGCAGAAAGTTTATGATGGTACTTATTTCCACTCCTGATGTGCGATGTTTCTAGAACACCAGATGACGTTTTGAGTAACTGGCCAATCTTTGACTGAGTGGAAAAAAATGTGGCTGAATCATAAAACGCCAGTTGTTGTGTTCTAGCAAATTGGGATGCACAAGCAAACACTTCCGGGGGTGAAGAGAGGAAATTGTGTGGTTGAGAAGAGAGAGATTACAAAAATTGCTTCTGGAGGCTCAAGAAATGCGTGTTATTCCATCCAGTACGAAGGATTTAAATGCCAAACAGGCAGTCCTCGACTTATGAATTTCTGTCACTAAGCAAAGAGGATGTCAAGAGAGGCACGCTTGATTTTTCAACCAGATTGACTGATAGGCTGATTTAAAGTGTTCAATTAAAAAACATCAATGCAATTAGGCCAGAAATGGACAAGCAACTCATATTTAAGGGAGATGAGGATTTAAAATCCCCTTGAAAGTTTCTTATGACTCTCTCCGAATCTGGCGCTGGGGATGGCATTGGCATCCTTTTTCCCTTTTCTTGGCATTGCCAATTTCACCCATTCTGCTTGGAAACAGCAGCGCATTTCTTAGGCTGAGCCATGCCAACTGCGGTGAGATCATCCCGGATTTTAAAACCGCAGGACTGCATGTGAAAACTTGCTTTAGGGGGGGGATCATTATCACTTTCTTCATTTGACACCCCCCCCCAGTCTCTAGAGAAAAAACTTTCCTCTCTCTTTTGATCTTCAGTGAAGCCTTGGGTAGATTCTGCCTCTGATCTTAGACATCTTTTGATGTGAGACACTGATATCAAAAACGGTCGTAAAATGAGGTGTGACTCATTTAACAACTACCTTGCATTGCAACGGAAATTGTGGGCGTAGTTGACTATCTGTGTTCTCCCTTTTTGAGACACCAGATAGATTCCACTACATTTTTTGTGATCTTCCAGACGGATGATCGGGTGTGTTATTCAGTGTCACAAGGGCCCTTCTGATCTGGATTGCCTTTGCGTGTTCTATCTCCCTGATTGTGTGCTTGTGAACCCCTTAAGGCAGGGATCCGTCTTCGGTTTCTTTGGGCAATAATAAGGTCCACCTTATTTCCAGCTTCTTCCCTCCGTGCAGGAGACCAAAACGTGCACATAGCCGCCATCTCTTCAATTGCAGATTCACCAAAAAAAAAAAAAGTGTGAGTGTGTTAACTAAATGATGTGATGCTGTAGCCCATTTAAGGGGCTGTTTGAGCCACTCAGTTTAAAAATAGAATATTCCTCTGTCAAACCTCAGCCTGCGGACTGTAAAACTCTTCTCATCGATAGGGACAATCTTAATTATTTTGTGCCCTGGATGTATCTATACATTCACTGTGGGGGAAATGTTTCCTTTGCATTTAGAGGAATCGAGTACCGCAACTCGTTTGTGTTATTTGTCGGTGGACTTTTGCTTCAGCTTCTTGTGGCAGGAGTTAATTTCAGATCAGCTCTTTTGTATTTTCTGTATGAGGCTGAGTTCCAGGAGAAAACAAGGAAGTGGATTTTATTCCCCCTGCTCAAAAACCGTGGGAACAATCAGTCACTCAATATACAGGCAGTCCTCAACTTAACCACAGTTCATTTAGTGACCATCCAAAGTTACAACGGCACTGAAAAAAGTGACATGTGCGTTTTTCATGCGACCGTCATCGCAGCATTCCCAAGGTCACAGGATCAAAACTCGGATTCTTGGCCTCTGGTGTGTATTTATGACAGTTTCCGTGTCCCGGGGTCACGTGATCCCCTTTTGCAAAGTCAGTGGGGAAGCGAGATTCACTTAGCAACCTAACAACTGCAGTGATTCACTTAACAACGGTGGGAAGAAAGATCATATAACAGGACAAAACTAATCGACAGCTGTCTTGCGTAGCAGTGGAAATCTGAGGCTCGGTTGTTGTCATAAGTCGAGGAGTGTCTGTCCGTGCGATCTGCCTCCAACATGGGCACCCTTGTTCCGCCAGAGCCCCAAACAACGGCCCCAATGCCGGTGGGCTTGCAGCTTGCAGAGTGCCCCAAAGATGCCCAGAAGGATGCAGCATCCTTTCGGTTCCGACGGGAAGGTGGTGGAAACGGGCCCCTGGCCCGGAGTCTCTTCTGCCTTCTTCCCTTAATGTTGCCACCCCCTGTGGCTCGGGGCAGAGGGCAGACTGGCATGGCTCTTTCCACCAAGCTGGGCTGGAGAAAAGTCTGATTGGCGGAGCAGGCTGGGGCTTCCTCGAATCAAACCACGGTTAGAAATGGAGCAGCCAGGCCAGCGATGTTCCATTGGTGGAGAAGACCCCCCCCCTTTCTAGGAATGCTGACTCTGTTGCTATAGCAGCAGCCGAAAACTGCCGCTTTGGTGTTTAACTCACTTCCTTGCAATTTGCTGGAAGGATCTAACCAGACGCAGAACAGCTGCTGGGTGGATTGTGACTTAAATCCAAACCTTTGGGGGCATCGCTTATTCTACCCTCTTCCAATCATCATTCAGTGGAGGGATGTCCTGGTTTGTCGAGCTCCCACATGGCATGAAGCCAGCATCCTGGCTTTTGCTTCAGTGCTGTTTGAGATTTCGGGGTTGGAGGCTCTGTCGGTTGCATGGGCGCAGCTGTTTGTGGCATGTTCCAGAAACCAGGGTTGTATTAATGGCAAGTATGGCTAGGGGGTGGGAGAAGCATATGGTGGCATGGTGTTTTGGAGTTTGTGGAGTGGGGGGGGGGTTGGAAAGGACAAGAGGGAGGTGTGAAACCTCACAGAATCGTTCCATTCGATTCAGATTCGAGCTGTAGGGAAAAAAAATGGCAAACACTGCTGTCCAGTAATGGCCATTTTGCAATTTGACTTCTGCAACTGGTGCTTGAACTGGTCTGGGGCTAAGAGAACCTTAAAAACATAGGGATCCCAAGGATCATCTATCCCAACCATGTGCAGAGAAACAAATTAAGCTATCCACGAAAGGCAGCCCCCCAATCTCTGTCCCACAATCTGCAAAGATGGAGAGGGAGGGGAGGAGAAATAGAAACACGAGGGAAGGAAGGAAGGGAAAGGAAAAAGATAAAAGTAAGAGAAATAGAAAGATGAGAGAAGGGAAGAAGAGAATGAAGATAGAAAGCTGATGGGAGGGGGAAGAAGGAAGGAAAAAGAAAGAATGAGCAAAGGAAGGAAAGCATAAGAAGACGTAAATGGAGGAAGGAGAAATAGAAAAATGAGAGAGGGAGGGAATAAGAAAAAGTTAAGAGATGAAAGAAAAAAGATATAGAAAGATGAGGGAGGGAGGGAAGGAAGGAAGGAAGGAAATAGAAGCATGAGAGAAAGAAGGAAGGCACAAAAATAAACACAGCTTTGATGCTGTGGCTTATGGTGAAGATTCTGACTTTTCTCCAGGCAGTTCCCATGCTCCCTACTGCAGAATGATGCAGGTGAGTGACAAGGAGGAAAACGGTGTAAAAAACATCCCTGGATATTTCTTTCTAGTAAGAACTTCTTCCTCCAAACTACAGGCTTGAGAGAGAAGAGCCCACTTTTAACAGAGACTTTTCTTTTAAGGCTTGAAGTTGCTAAATTCAAAAAGGCTTCAGGAGGAACGTTTTGGTAGCTAATGCAAGATTCACGAGGTGGGTTTTGTGTCTGGCTGATTAGCACTTCGCTCATCGCCAGTCCGTGACTTGACAAAATGCAGAATATCAGAAAACTTGCCAAAGCCAATTTTCTTGCCGTTCTCTGGCTCATCATCTAATTTTGGACTTTTGATCCTGATAGCTGAAAGTTGAACGGTCCGTTTAGGACCGGGTAGGTTAACGTGGCTTCCAAAATTCTTTTCTTCAAGTCTTCTGTTGGAAGATGAAAGACGAAGGAACCCTATATTGGTGCATCTATACTTATCCAAGAAAGAGTTTGAAGGGTTCTGGGAAAATCTGGAGAGAGACAGTTTGGTCTAGTGGTGAAAGCAGCAATAGACACCAGGAGAGGGTGAGTTCTAGTCCCACTTTAGGCATAAAAGCCAGATGGATAACTTTGGGCCAATTGCCAGGAGACAGTGGTCTATGCATGCGTGCAATTCCTTATTTTTTTTTAATTTAAAGAATCTTTTTTTAAAAAAAAAACCTCTGTAGTGGACTGTCCTGTGGGAAATTCTACTTCTTTTCCCCCCTTCATTTTCGGTTTTCCTTACTTAAATTGAAACTTGTAACCAAAAGGAACAAACAGTCAAATTAACTTTAAAGTTGTAGCTGTTCTCAGCTCCTTTGCAAAAAAAGTTTCTTTTTAAAATCTTAAAGCCTGTTCACGGGTTTGTTTATTTGTAAACAGAGAGGAACTAGCAGAGATTGTTCCCTTTATTTCTTCTTTCAGCCACATTGCTGGTTTTACATCTTGTTTTCTTTGAAATTGATTTGTTTTGCTTGAAGTTAGTTTTGTGTTGTAAGTAAATATGCTGGTTTTTGTCTTCAGTAGAAGCGCAGAATTTTTTTTTAAAAAAAATGCATTTGGTATACACCGAATGAAAAACAATAACCAAACTGAGTTCAAAATGCTTCTGATTCCATTTAAAAAAAAAGAAAAGAAAAGAATCAAGGCTGCCTTATTTAGGAATTAAAGTTAACTTTAATTACACTTCACTTGATCGGTGCAATTAGCTTCCACCAACCAAATGAATTTAATTAAAAAAAAAATCTCTTGTGTTCTTCAAAGTAGAGAGGGTTTGTTTTTTTTGGTTTTTTTTTAGCAAATCCAATCTAAAATTTAGGCCAAGCAAGTGAAGATCACCCATAAAATCCCCTTCTTGCATCTTTCTTAGCAATGACTGGAAGTATAATAATAATTATTGTAATAATAAATACAAATCGTAATAGGATGACTGTGGCAAAAGAAATCAAAGGAGCCTTGGGTCACCCAGCTGATTTTCAGGCCTAGAACTCTCCGTCTCCTGATGATAAGCTCAAAGTTACCAAGCTGGCTTTCGTGCCTAAGGCGGCGCTACAATTCACCACCTCCTGATTCATTGTCCCAAAGTCACCCAGTCAGCTTCCATGCCTACAACTCATCGTCTCACTGTGACTGGTCCCAAATCATCCAGCTAGTTTTCATGCCTAAAGCAAAACTAGAACTCACAGTCTCCTGATGATAGCCCCAAAGCCATCAAGCCAGCTTTCGTGCTTAAGGCGGGACTAGAACTCCCAGCCTCCTGGTTTCTAGCCCGGTGCCTGTTCCACTAGAATCAGTATGTAAGTACTGAACATTCATAGCTTTCTGCTTAACAGACGTAAACATATAATAATTGGATTGGAAAGGATCTTGAAGATTTTCTACTTCAACCCCCTGTTCAAGCAGGAGACCCTGTGTGCCATTTCGGACAAATGGCTGTCCAGTCTCTTCTTGCAAAACTCCAGTGATGGAGCAGCCACAACTTCTGGAGGCAAGGAGTTCCACTGGTTAATTGTTCTCACTCTCAAGAAATTTCTCCTTAGTTCTAGGTTGCTTCTCTCCTTGGTTAGGAGAGTTTCTCCTTCCAAATCCTGTGTTTGCTGCAGTCATCATTAAGATGGACTTTATAAGAGGACTATATATTTTTTTTTAAAAAAACGTTTCTTTGAAAGGATGAACAGTGCAATTAACCTTCCTCCAAGCTTGATCTGACCGGCCAATTAAACATTTCTCATTTTTCTTCTGCAGGATCAGTTTGACACCCTCGAAAAACACACCCAGTGGGGTATCGACATTTTGGAAAAATATATCAAATTCGTCAAAGACAGAACGGAGATTGAGATCAACTACGCAAAGCAGCTTAGGTGAGTTCAAGATACCGTTGGGAAGCGTGTGATGCTTGTGCATTTCATCCAGTTGTAAATCTACAACTCCCACGCTGGATGATAGTACGGTATATTTGTGCAGCAGGTTAAATGTGCGTTTTTCAAATTTATTCCCTGCATTTAACTACGGAGGGAACTTCCCCCTTTCAGGTCTGAATCACAGAGAAACATATTTGATTTTGGTTTAACTGGCTGCATATTCCCAAGTACAGATAGCCCTCAACGACTTAGTTAGTGACTGTTCTAAGAGAAAGAGAGAGAGAAAATCTTTCTTCATTAGCTTTGTAATTGTTTTATTGATTTAGTGAGTGTTTTATCCCCAACCTGACCCGTTCCATTTGCAGCATAGTTTATGGCTGATACAGAAATAGGCTTGAAGTCTTTACTTGTAAAATGTTTCATCATTAAGAGATGCTGATTGTCTCATTGGAGAAGCCACTTCGCCCAAGTTCCAAATTTAGCAAGCTGCACCCTCGGATAGAAATTCATTTCTCTTTATTTTGGGAACAAAATGAAGCTTCCCTTGAAAAAGCACAAGGGGGGGTTTCCGAGAGGCTAGGTGGAGAAATTAACCTTGGTTTTCAGTCGCTTGCAGCCACAGATTCAAGGTTTTCAGGCAGTCCTCCACTTACGACTGTGCTTCAGCCCAGAATGACGGCTGTAAGCCGTGCCTGGAGGTGAGCGGTCATCACATGACCGACCTGATTTTAATGAAATTTTTGCAGTGGTCGTTAAATACACTGCGAAGATTGTTAAGCGAATCTGCGGTCGTTAAGCAAACCTATTTTCCGTTTAAAGAAAAAGAAAATAAAAGGAGCTTGCTATTAATTGGCAATCATTTTTTTTTCACCTTCTCTCTCTCTTTCTGGTTTTATTTTAGGAACCTCGCAAAGAAATACCAGCCCAAAAAGAATTCCAAAGAAGAGGACGAATACACGTAGGTTTCCACCTTCAATCCCAAAGTATAAATTGGAAAATTGATGAAATTACCCAGCGGTAACTTGCTGAAATGCCACAAAGTCGTTGGCTAATATTCTCTCCATAATCCATAATCCAGTCCTTGAATTACGACTGTTTCTTCAGCGGCAGGGGCTGAAGGAAGGTCCTCAGAGCTTGATAAAACGTTCTGATTACTGAGTTTGGTAATGAAGGAAAATATTTGGGTTTAACACATGCCTGCTTTTAACAGGCAGCAAGGGGTTGGACTAGAAGACCTCTGAGGTCCTTTCCAGCCTTACAATTCTATGTTCTAAATGCTATCTAGGAATGATGGGACGAGTCCAACATTATCGAAAAGTAATATGATTTTTTTTAAAAATGTTTGAATTTCAGTTTTTTTCTTGCCCCTTTTAGGTATTCATCATGCCGAGCCTTCCTAGCGACTCTGAACGAAATGAACGATTATGCCGGTCAACATGAAGTTATTTCGGAGAACATGACCTCCCAGATCACCACGGAGTTAGCCCGTTATGTACAGGAGCTCAAGCAAGAAAGGAAATCGGTAACAAAGTTTTAAACTTCCTGATTTCTTTGCCATGGATTGAATGAACTGAATACAGCAGAAACTCTATGCAGCTAATGAAAACTTTAAATAAGACTTTATTAAATTTAAACGCTGCCAACTTAACCATCACTCTTCAATATCATAAGAATGTTTTGCCCAGTGAAAAGAGAAGTTGAACCAGGAAGGGAAAAAGGGAAGGGAGGGAGGGAGGGAGGAAAGAAGAAAAGAAGGAAAGAAAAGCAGAAAGGAGGTGGGAGGGAAGGAGGAAGGAAGGAAAGGAAGGAGGGAGGGAGGAAGGAAGGAGGGAGGGAGGGAGGAGGGAGGGAGGAGGAGGCAGAAAAGGAGGGAAGAAGGAAGGAAGGATAAAAGAGGCAGAAAGAAGGTGAAAAGGAAGGAAGGAAGGAAGGAAGGAAGGAAGGAAGGAAGGAAGGAAGGAAGGAAGGAAAGACTTTATGGACTAGTAACATGTCATACAAGCATGCAGCTCTCTTCCTCATAGCTTTACAGTAGTTTTTTTTCTTGACAAGACTATCTAAACTTCTCTTGAGCCAGCAAAGGAAGAAAAGCAGGTGGTTCCTCTTGGGACTTTTAATTCCCAGTCGGGGATGTTTCTGCTGTAGTTTCCTTGACACAAAATTTAAATAATGCATTGGTTGTCGCCCGCCGAGGGCTCACCGTCAGGACTCAGATTGTCGGTGTGATCTTCTCGGAAGGGCGCAGAGAAACAAACGAATGTTTTCAAGGTTGGCAAAGTGTGAAGGCTGGCTTGCAAACCTGCAATTAACTTTGGCTAGAAAAGGGAATGCTGAGGTCTTGGATGCAATCTGAATTTGCATGTTGCATGGCAGGAGAAAAAGCCAAAGAGACAGATCATTAAAACCCAACCTTGGTTTTTTTTGGGGGGGGGGGGAGCGGTTTCTGCTTTGCCAGGACAAAAATCTCATGTCTTATTTTAATTTTATTTTTTTTAGTTTTTGAGGCCTCCAGAAATGCAGCCATCTGAGTTTGCATAGCCACGTGGGTGGGTGGGCAGTTCTCAAACTGCCCCAGGGCTGGGTCATTTTTTTCTCAGCCAGAAGCTAGCTGGAGATCCCTGACATTTCAGCAGCTGAGGTCAGGGTGTTGACGTAGACCGGGGTTAAGGCGCCATCCCCGATAAAGCTAGGCAGGAATAAACCGGCCTGTCTCAACGCTAACAAAAGCCATTGAAAAGAAAAGACGGGGTGGGGGTGAAGAGAGATTTTAGCATCCTCCGTGGCTGGCTCATTCCGTGCCTCACCTTCTCCCATTTCGACAGAGACTCCTCGGTTTATGACCGGTTGACTATCCAAAGTAATGACAGACTTTAAAAAAGAGATTTGTGGCCCAGATGACATCTGGTGGAATCCTGGCAAAGGCCAGTTTAGTGGACCATCCTCCATTGTCCACTTTTTGTTAAGTGGATCGTGTGACCATTAAACGGATCTAGCTTCCCCTGTTGACTTGGCTTGTCAGAATCAGGCTGGGGAGGTCACGTGACCCCAGGATGCTGCAACTGTCATAAATACACGCCAATTGCTAAGATTTTGATCACATGACTGTGATGGTTATATTGTGACGCAGCATCCATGCTCCTGAACACTAGTCAGTGAACAAAGTCACGGCGACATTGAAGCTTGTGAGTGATTTGGTCCCCAGAAGTTTGAACCGTTGAAATTCTGAACACCTGAAGTTGAGGGTCTTAAGACCCTCAACTTCAGGTGTTCAGAATTTCAACGGTTCAAACTTCTGGGGACGCGATTTGCTTATCAGTATTCAAGAGGACTATCTGTAAGGTAAAAAGTCCTGCTGGTGCAGAAAATCAATAGCTCAGAATAAGTTACTGCTGAGGCCTCCTTTCATAATATAGTCTGTGATTGGATTCTTTTTTACTTCTGTTGTGAACGTGGATGGTGTCAGTTGCATCTCTATGTTGAGTTGCATCTCTCCTCTGTGTAATACACACCATTTGACTGGTGGCTCTTTGCGCTTCAAGCAAACAAGCAAAGTTGTTGTCACATCGCCAGCATCTCCTGATGCAGTGTGAGGAGCAGCTGATGGTTTGGAGAAGGACCATCTCCTCAGATGGCCCAGAGTCTTTCTCCCCACCCTTCAGAAGACAACTTCACCCTTCACCAAGGGGTGTTGCTTCTCTGGCTGGGTGCCCAGAAGATCCATTAAGGGTTGTTCTCCCGTCTGGATGGCTTCAAAGACCATTCTGGTGCGCCTCACTCTGCGGCGTGAAGGACGCTGATCTCGGAATAGGACGGCCAACGATGCGGTTGGCTGAAGAGAGATATTAACGGACAGGAGAGGCCTTTCGTTCGCGCGATGTAGCCAGAGATGAAGGATGCTGGGGTCAGATTCAACGGGACAGGTCTAGGGTCAGCCCTTCATGGTAGGGCAGGGGTCTGAGATTACTTCTTTACTGTGTAGGAAATAATTGCCACCATTCCAAGGACGAGGAGATCAAGGTGAAGCTATTCTGAGGGGGAAAGAGAGAGTAATAAATACATTTTCAATTCCCCAAAGTTTTTTTTTATCAGAGTTGTTTCTTTATTCTTACATTTTCAGAGCTCAGTGATGCAACCTGGAAAATGAGGTTTACAGATCCCGTTAAATGGAAATATATTTTCTTGCCTGGACAGATAATCCAGATGTGGAACTATTAAACCTGTTTTTCTTTCGTAGACTTTCGTCTCCCTCCTATTGTCTGGAATATGACATGTCCAGGAAATTAAGCCAACTAAAAAAAGACAAAACACAAATTTTCCCTCACCCTGGCACAAAATAGAAAAAAACTGTAACTGGAGACAAAATATTGCTAAAATACATGGCTACCTGTAGAGAAATACAGGTGGTCCTCGAATTACGAGTAGAACCGAGCCCAGAATTACAGTCGTAAGTTGTGATGGTTGTTAAGCAGGTCACGTAACCATGCCCAATTTTATAAGATTTTTTGCAACATTGCCTTTGCTTGTCAGAAGCTTCCTAAGAAGGTTGATAATAATAATATTATATATTATATATATATTATATATATTATTATATATTATTATTATTATTATTATTATTATTATTATTATTATTATTTCAGTGCCATTGTGACTTTGAATGGTCACTGAACAGATTATTCATAAGTCAAGGACTGCCTGCAATCATAAAAACGGCAATAAATTTGTCTCTGCATTTTTATGTTTATTTTAAATAAGACTTTGTGAATTCTTCCTTTCAGCATTTCCACGACGGGCGGAAAGCGCAGCAACACATCGAAACCTGTTGGAAGCAGCTGGAATCGGTGAGCGGGCCTGACTCGGTTCTGGGTTAGGTTTGACGTTTCCGTGCTGTTCGTAAAAGTACGTTGGTTTGCTCCACGCACCAAGGATTTCGGGAGTAATGGCCATCCTCATTTAGCAATCACAACTTGGACCCACAACTTTGTCATTAAGGAAAGCTAAGGTTGCTAAAGGAAACCGCGACGGTGTTTACGGTCTGACTTCAGCTTTCCTTGGCTTTACGGACCGGCGAAGGTTGTAATTATTATCTATTTTATTGATTGTTCCACTGATTAATTGCTCACACTGTCAGGAAGTTTCTCCTTAGTTCCAGGTTGCTTCTCTCCTTGGTTCGTTTCCACCCGTTGCTTCTTGTCCTGCCTTCAGGGGCTTTGGAGAATAGCTTGACTGCCTCTTCTTTGGGGCAGCCCCTCAAATATTGGAAGACTGCTATCATGTCCCCCCCTTAGTCCTCCTTTTCTCTAGACCGGCCATACCCAATTCCTGCAACCATTCTTCATATGGTTTAATGGCCCTTAATCATAGATGCAGTGCGAGACCCCAAAAACTCAGCAGCTCTCTTTTGTAAAAAAAAATTCAAAATAAATGCCCAAGCACGCAACCTTGAGAACTATCTAGCAATGTCAGGTTCCTTTCACGCGGTTTCACACATGAATTGCTAACTGTCTTCTGCCATCCCTCGTCAGAGCAAGCGACGATTTGAACGGGATTGCAAAGAAGCCGACCGAGCGCAGCAATACTTCGAGAAGATGGACGCAGACATCAACGTCACGAAAGCAGACGTCGAAAAGGTAAAAGTGTGTGTGTGTGTGTGTGTGTGTGTGTGTGTGTGTGAGAGAGAGAGAGAGAGAGAGAGAGAGACTTGTTTTGCTCAATTTTTGTTACAGAAGGGAAGGGAGGGACCTTGGAGGTCATCCAGTCCAACCCACTGCTTGAGTAGGAGACTGTATGCAGATAGTCCTCGACTTACAATCGCAATTAAGCCCCAAATTTCTGTTGCTAAGTGAGACATTTGTTAACTGCCCCATTTTATGGCTTTTCTTACCACTGTTGTTAAGTGAATCACTGTAGTCGTTAAGCGAATCGCTCTCCCCCCCCCATTGACTTTTCTTGCCGGAAGCCCACTGGGGCCGCCCCTTGTCTTGGCACCTCCTGGACATTCGACGCCACGCCATCCGTGCCTGGTGTGCAGATGCCATGTCGCTGGCCCGAGAGAACAGTGTGTGTGTTTTTGTGTAGTGTGTTAAGGCTTAAGTCCCTTTCTTTGCGTGGCTGGGGACATGTGATGCGAAGCTTACATAATTGTGGTGCAGAATAGCACATTGTTTATGTATGGGGCAGCTGCTGCTGTTGTTGCTTCTGATTCTCTCTTTCTCCCTTCCTTTCTCTCTCTTTCTCTCTCCCTCTGTTCTCTTTCTCTCTGTTCTCTTTCTCTGTTCTATTCTATTTCTCTTTTTCTCCCTCTCTCTTCTCTTTATCTGTTTTATTTTTCTCTCCTCTGTTCTATTCTATTTCTCTCTTTTTCTCCCTCTCTCTTCTCTTTATCTGTTTTATTTTTCTCTCCTCTGTCTCTTTCTATTCTATTCCTCTCTTCACTTTCTCTCTCTATTTCTCTCTTCTCTTCCTCTCTCTCTTCTCTTTCTCCCTTCTCTTTCTGTCTCCTCTTTTCTCTCTCTCTTCTTTCTCTCTGTTCTCTCTATATATTCTATTTCTCTCTTCCTTCTTTCTCTCTCTCTCGCCTCTCTCCTCTCTCTCTTCTCTTTGTCTTTTATTTTTCTCTCCTTTCTGTCTCTCTCTCTTCTATTCCTCTCTTTCTCTCTCTCTTCTCTTTCTCTCTCTCTGTACCTTAGCGCTAACTCGGTCTTCGCAGGATGACGCAACCGAGTTGTTTTCAATCTCTATCTTTTGTTACCAGCCACTTTTTCTGCTTTTCCCTTGGCTTGGCTGCCTCCTTCCTGTGGCATGAGATTTCCCGGCCTCTGGAGGCGGCTGCCTTGGTTTCAGGTTGAGTGTAGAAAGCTAAAATAAGTTGTAGAAAGCTAAAATAAGTTGTAGAAAGCTAAAATAAGTTGCGTTTCGGTGAGCTGGCCAGAACAGGACTAGTTTGCTTGGCTGGGTTCAATCGGCCAATCTTCTTTTCAGCAACCACAACTCACTGTTGCTTCCCGTTGCTAAGCAAGGCGGTTGCTTGTCGCAGTTGTTAAATGAGTCGCTGCAGTTGTTCAAAGTTAGTAACACGGTTGTTAAGTGAATCTTGCACCCCCGTTGAATCTGCTTGTCAGAAGATCGCAAAAGGTGATCATGTGATGCCGGGACGCTGCCGCCGTCATAAATACGAGCCAGTTGCCCAGCGTCCAAATTTTGATCACGTGACCCTGGGGGATGCTGCAACGGTCGTTAAGTGTGGAAAACGGTCATAAGTCACTTTTTTTCCAGCGCTGTTTAATGGCCATTAAACAAACTGCTGTAAGTGGAGGACGACCTGTAGCTCGGCTAAAGTTTGGAAGTGTCCGGAGATTTTGTGCATTTCGTTATGGCTTATTTTATAACTACAATCAATTATTCTGAACGTTTGCCTTTTCCCAACCTTGGCAGGAAGAACGGAGGCTGTTGGCCGAGTGAAAAATTGTGACGGGCCTGAAAAAGTGAGCAGGCGTGCTTTTAGCTCGGGCTTTTACCATTTTGGGGAAACTCCGGCAGGGAAGGGACGGTGCTCCCTCCCACGCTGGGTTACGGTTAGCCCAGCTGGGGCAGAAACGGGTGGGGCGTCCCAGGGATGTAGGGCCGGCTCTGCACTCCTGGCCAGAGCCTCCTCGGAGTTTTTGCTTTTGTGTGTGTGTGTGTGTGTGTGTGTGTGTGTGTGTGTGTGTGTGTGTGTGTGTGTGTGTTTTCTCCCTCGTCAGCCCAGCCCCGGGAGATGATTGGGCTGGGTGCCATCCCTGGGTTGAAAGCCTTGGATGATATTTGGTTGAGGCTGTTTAAGGAAAGGCTGCGTTTGGTTGCTTACGTTGAGCTCCCCGGTGGCAGAGCCTGAGCGGTGTGGAAAATATTTTTCCTTTCTGAGCACTGCACTCCTCCCTTTCTTTCTCCTTCTCGTCCTCCCCTTCTCCTATTTATTTATCCCCTTCTCCCCTCCCCCTGTTTATGTGTCTCCTCCTTCAGCTTCTCTTTCTCTTCCATCTTCTCCTTTTCTTGTTCTTCCCCTTCCTGTCTTTATTTATCTCCTCTTTCCTTCGCCTTCTCTTCATCCCCTTCCTTTCTTTCTTTAGCTCCAGGAAGGAAGGAAGGAAGGAAGGAAGGAAGGAAGGAAGGAAGGAAGGAAGGAAGGAAGGAAGGAAGGTTCCTTCCTTCCTTCCTTCCTTCCTTCCTTCCCACTCTTCTTGCTCCTCTTTCCACCTTGGTCAAGCTGTGGAAGTTTTATGACCTTGCCAAACTAATCTGTACTGATGCTCCTTGCATAATAGGGACTAGTATCTTGTTTTCCTTTTGCATCCTTCCAAGAGAGCACCCTTTGGGGGGAAAAAATAATAATCCGCCTTTGTCGAGCTGTGGACGTTTTGTGACCTTGTTTGCCAAACTAATCTGAAAAAGTTCTAAAAGCTGCTTGCGTTCTCTTGGTACTAGATTTCCGCTTGCGAGGTTTATGGTGCTAGATTTCAACATGCAGGGATTTTTTTTAAAAAAAGCATTCAGATACATCATTTATCCCATTCTGTCTCTGGATTTCTCAATTATACTCTGCAGAAACGGTTAATCCCTACACCACTTTGTTATTTTTTCCTCTTGTTCCTGAAACCACCCCACTTCCTAACACGAGGGTCTCTTTTTAAGTTGTGTATTTGTTTAAATACTCCCAACCAGCCATACAAGCCGCAAGGGAGCCCCTTGATCTAAAACCAGCGGCAAAACATATCCGTTGCCGTATCAGGCAATCGCATCGGGGTTTAAATAAATAAAAAGATGAATCATTTTTCTGAAGCCCAGCAAAATTCAGCCTTGCTGGGCGTGGGGAAGGATGGATAAAGTTCCATGGAAAATACAGAGAAACTTATTTTGCTCCTGGGTGGTCTGTTCACTGCCCCGCACACCTATCTACACAATCGCAAAAAAACCCCTCCCCAGCTGCATTTTGAAGCCCAACCAAAGAGATGATTATCTTGAATATCATCCCGATTATTTTTAGGAAGAGCTGGAGATGAAAGCAAGTTGCTTTTAGAAAAGGGACGTGAAAGTTTTGTATTTTTTAACAAGAGGGGGGGTTCTGCCGAATGGCAGAGGAATGCACTCTGCACGCTTGCAGGGGCACCCTCTTCACCCTTGGCGTTCCTCCCCGGGCCCTTCCCCAAAGCCGGCTGTCTTGCAGCCGCATCCAGGCTGCGAGCGGGAGCCGAGTTCCAGGGCGGTGGGGATGAAAAGGGATTTGATGCGAAGCAGATGAGAGGGAGGCCGGAGAGGCAGCCGAACCAAGTGGGCTGTGAAGCGAACGCCAGACGGTGAAGATCTTGCTAAAAGGCAGAGGTGGGCGGAGAAGCCGGGGTACAAAGGGATTGTTGATGGAAAATATTTATGCAAAGACAGCGTAAATTGCCAGCAGGAAATAATTTAACCAATTCCTGCTTCTAGAGAGATTGCCCAGTGCTTCCCTGGCCATTAAATCGTTTTTTATATCCTGCCTGTAACTGAAAGTAGTGAACATCCTAATACTCCTTTCTGCTCCTCTTTTCCCCCCTCAACAACAACCCTGTGGGGTGGGTTGGGGAGAGAGTGAGGGAGGGAGAGGGAAAGAAAGAAAGAAAGAAAGAAAGAAAGAAAGAAAGAAAGAAAGAAAGAAAGAAAGAAAGAAAGAAAGAAAGAAAGAAAGAAAGAAAGAGAGAGAGACTGTCCCAAAGACACCCTGCCAGCTTTCGCACCTAAAGCCGGACTAGAACTCACCATCACCCGGTGATTGACTCAAAGTCAACCGACCAGATTCGATGCCTAAAACAGGATTAGAACTCACCGTCTCCTGGGGATTGGCCCAAAGTCACCCAGCCGGCTTTCATGTGTAAGTTGGTGCTAGAACTCCCAGCCTCCTGGTTTCTCGTCCAGCATTTTAACCTCTCCAGCAAACTGACCCTCTTCCCTTTTTCTTAGCCAGTTTCTGCTTCTGGGGGGTCTTTGCCCATCCCGCCATTATTTCCCAGGCTGCTTTGCAACAGAAGTCATGGGGGGGGGAGTCTTGAAAAGGGGTGCAAAACTCTCAGAAGTCATTCCCCAACAGGCTGTTTTGTTGAGAGGTTGTCAACGTTTCCGTTCTTCCTCCTCCAGGCCCGCCAGCAAGCCCAGCTCCGTCACCAGATGGCCGAAGACAGCAAAGGAGAGTATTTATCCACCTTACAGAAGTTCAACCACGAGCAGCGAGAGCATTACCACACGCATATTCCCAATATTTTCCAGGTGGGGGTCCTCCTTGGCCTTGCAAACTGCCACCTCTCACGGGGGCTCCGAATTGCTTTTTGGAGCCGACAATATAGTCCTCGACTTACGACTGCAAATTTCGGCGGCTAAGCTGTCGTTCGGTGGGGTTTGTCCCCTTTGACGACTTGTCTTGCCACAGTTCGTTAAGCGAATCCTTGCAGTTGTTGAGGGAGCCACACAGCCATTAAGGGAATTGGGCTTCCCTGTTGACTTTGCTTGTCCCCTTTTGTGACCACATCACCCCCCTGGGACACTGCGACCGTCATAAATAAGAACCAGTTGCATGTCAATTTTGATCATGTGACCACGGAGATGCTGCAATGGTCGTAAGTGTGAAAAATGGACCTGAGTCCCTTTTTTCCCAGTGGTGTTGTAACTTGGAACAGTCACTCAGTGAACAGTCGTAAGTCAAGGATTACCTCTGTGAAGGCAGCCCGACCTCTCCTGATCTCCCGCTAGTTTTTGCTCCATCTGATTAAACTCTGGCAGGAACTCAGACTGGGGAGCGACACAGCGGCCTCTTGTCAGGAAGACTCCAGGGCTGTCATTGTGTTGACACCATTGTTTGTCACGCCGCCGTTGTCACTCACCGCTCTGCAGCTGGAGAGGCAGGGCACGGATGGGGCAAGCCGGTGCCAGATTCAGCCAACTGAGCTTTACAGTTTTATTGGTCCTTTGTAAAGCCAGGCTATCTAGGATAACCTGACCTTCCTCTCATTTCTCAGTAGCCCCGTTTTAGTGTCGGTGCTGACTCCTTGGTGTTTGCACTTGAAAGGTGTGGGAGTGTGTAAACCTAACTGACGAGGTTGCTACAAGGGTGGGGGGGG